TAATCGTGGCCAGAAGATCGCTTGCACGAGAGGAAAATCACATTTGGAGAATCAAGAAAAGTAAAAGAGAGATTGATGTTTTTATTCTCCCCACTCCTTTTTCGCGTCCGCAAAATCAGGACGTTCTTCGGGCTGTATTTTTGAGAATCTCTCTGGTCAATTTTCCCAATAAGCATTGCAAATGTCTCATTGCGAAACAATTCCCCATGATTTCAGCGAGAGATTTTTGCGCCAATTTCCGCCACATGGCGATTCTTTGCCCTGGTCTATTGACTGTAGGAGTCGAGAAATCGTTGTGTGGCTCTTCTGAGTGCCGCGCGAGAAACGCATCTGAGGCGAAAAAACAACAATTGTCGGTGCCTGTTATTGAGAAAAACACTGTTAGTTTGGGAAGAATCGCGAAATTCCCTCACATAATTGTTGCTTGAGCATATTTTTCCCTCAACAAGGCAAGATTGTCGTGTGACTGGGAACAGTAACCTACTTTTCCGTCTCAAATACAAGAGAGAAGAGTTTGAAATATATGTTCAACTCCTGAGCGGCGTCACAAGCTTCCTTTTAATGTGCCAGCGAAACCAATATTATTTGATAAGATGAAATGGGGTTTGTGTGCACTAAATACCAAACAATAAATTAGACCACGAGACGAATTTGTCATTGTTTGCCACCTCTTTCCGTTTTTTTTCCTTCCTTCCCACTTCCTTTATACCAAGAAAAGCAACAGAAATCAATCGAACCCTCTTTCTCTCTCTCTCATCTTATCTATTGCCAATTAACACCGCGCGAAAATGCTTAAAACCTACGCACTTCTTTTTCTCCTACCGCAAGAAAGGCACACTTTTGCTCACGCGAATAACGCCACGTGAAGAACAGACAAGAACGAGATCAAAAGAAGAATAAATATTTAATAAAAGTTTATTGAACAAAAATCAGCAAATATTGTCACAAATGTGACAAATCAGCCCATTTTTTCTGCCTATCTTTTTCTTTTAATGTTCACACCAAAGAAATAACCCAGCAATATTCCAACGACATGAAGAGAGAAATTGGGTGTGTTCAGAGTCAAACTGTGTTTTTTCTCCGCCACTCTTTCGCCCAGACCATCAAAAATGTGTGCACTTAATTTTTCATAGGTCTGGAAGACGTGGAAAATTATGCGACATTCACCAAATACTGACCCATTTCCTTGACACTAAGCGAAAAATAATTTCCCAGAAGATGAATAATGTGGACGAAAGAATTGCAAAACAACAGAGAAATTAACCGAAGAAATTCTAAATCTAACGTGTGTCTTTTCTGAAGAAGCAGAAAAAAGAGTAATTTTCCAGTGTGTTTCTTTTGCACCGTCAAGTGTGCGCCAAATCGTCCCAATTCTACTGCCCTTTCAGGTTAAACTCAATGTGAAACTTGATGATCTTGTCTTTAAAATCCCCCATGAATTATGGTCAACATAGCCAGTTATTGCACAACATACATTATATTCTTGATCAATTAGCGGCCTTTTTCTGGCCATAATCACCATTTTTCTCCCCCTCTTGCGTCGTGAAAGAAGTACGATTCTAGAAGATAATTTCAAGTCTCTCTTTCTTGCACCTCCTCTTGTGTCCACCGATGAAAAACAAAGTCCAAACAACCGTTCTCAATTTTTCCCTCCCATCGAGAATAATATCTCTCGAGGCAATTAAGTGTGTAAACATCGATAGGCGAAATAAGATCACATTTGAAAAGTTAATTGCATTTGACGCATTTTGTCCTCTCATTTTCAACATCCAACAACCATTTGGATTCTATTAAACTTGGTATTTAAACCAAATAAGACGGTCACACGTTTGCAGAAAAAAAAGAGAATCACAAGAAAATATTGTCCACCTTGAAAGCGTTTGAAGTGAAGAGGTATGAAGAAAAAAAAACAGAACCCGCAAGAGCGGTGCAGAATGCAAAAGAACCAGAAAGTTGAAGCGCTCTCAAAAAGCTCCTCTCTTTCATACCTCATCCAGCCTCTCTGTCACTCACGCATCTCGCGAGATTCTCAAATGGTGCATTTTCCAGCCTCTTGTGCAGGCCTCAAAGGCAGCAAATTGAGCAAAAGAAGTGGAGAAAAAATCTTCATGGTCAACATGACAAATTCAATTTTGCCCGAGAAACACCTCTCTTTGGGCACAATCTTCGAGACTTGCTCTGTCGCGAATGTGATCACTTGGCGATAAATACGTGAGCCAAGAAAATGCAAATGCAACTCCTTCTTCTTCGTCCAAATGCCCATTTGCAAGGAGAGGGACATAAAAGTGATCAATATTCAAATGTGCACAACATTTTCCAGCGCACAAAACTCCGTGTGAATTCTGTGTGCGATGAGCAAGAATTTCATTTACAAAGAAGAAAAAAAGCACTGAAAAGATAGATTTTATTCACATGCACCTTCAAAAGATGAAAAATTCTTTGCCTCAAGAGCCCAAGCATTGGCACGAGAAGCTGAAAAACGAGTTAGAAGAGAAGTTTAAGTGCAAATTGAGACACACACCAGTGTCATAGACGATTCTTCATAAAAATTTTTTCACTTCGTGTGTTGCACAAAATCATTCGATTGACCTCATTCTCTTCGCTGCATTTTTTTTTATTCTGCAATTCACCATCTCTTAGCTGGAATAAGCCATACCTTAAGCCACTCTGTGAGGATTCTCTCTCTCTTGCCACTGGGAGATTTTATGACTTTTCATCATTTTTCTGCATTGCACACGCAACCAAACCATCATGCACAATTTCAGTCAAGCTTATCATTATATTGCCTCATTTTACCAGAGACAAAATTGTACGTACAAAATGCATTTTAATTGCCGCATCAATTCACGTTAAAGAACACCGCGAGAGCTTCAGCAGTGAAAATAATCAATGAAGTGTAGAGAGTTTGTCTCCAAAATCCACACAGAATCACTTTACACGCGTTCTGCTTTGTGGCAGAATCAGATTAATCCCGCATTAATTCTCCAGTTTAAACTTACACATTCCCCGGGATGTGGATCTCCCCCTTTTTCTCTTTCTCACTCCTTTTCAGAAATCAAATAACACACAGAAGTTATCAGCTTACCTGCAAAGACAAAGAGAGAAAAGAAGTGTTAAGGCATAAATATTCAAAGTGGAGACAGTTAGCTTAATTTAATTCAGAGAGAATACATGTGTTCGCCAAATACCATTTTATACATCTTGATAACAAATGTGGATAAATCTGAATATTAAATCTTCCAAATTATGCTGCGATTTTGCACCGCAGAGCGCCTTCTGCCACACAGTAGAAGAAGTTACATTGCGCTCAGCGGAAATTCCCTCTCCGCAACTCTCTCGCGCTCTCTCTTTCTCTCTCTCTGTCCAGAGCCACTGAGTCGCGCTCTCCGCGAGAATCGGCGGCTTTTTCGGGCCCCGCATGACAGCATAAAAGCCACCAAAGCAGAAAAAGCTCTAAAATTTTACATCAGCGCACACAAGATTGAGGAATTATTGCAAAAAGTGGAGAAAAATCGGGCATATAAAGGCACACGACGGCAATGAAGGAGGAGAAGCGAGGTGGTCATGGGGAAAAAGAGCGGGAAATGCCATGAAATACACAACACACCACACACATCGAGGGAAAATGCCATGAATGATGGTGGAGACAATTAAATGAGCAACTTTGTGCTGGAATATTTATTGGGGGAGGAAGGTATAAAGATGAATAATATCATTGCCATTCTTGGCTTCTTCTTCTCTGTCTCTCTCTCTTTTTCATTCCATTATTATTATTGCCCAGTGGAATTCTATAGGTGAAGATAGATTAACGCTGAATGCAAGAATTTCAAGAGAGATGCCAAAGGGAGACAAACAGAGCCAAGAAGAACTTGCCAACCACTTTGATGGTAAAATGTATACGGTGTGTTCCATATGTAAGAAGAGAGCATTAAAAGTCACTAACGGTAAGATTTGTAGTTGACGCAATTACCGTTAGTTCTTGATGGTTTGCCATCCACGGCGCACAGCAAGACACACACACTCACTCGCTCAAGATGCCCAAGAATCCCAAGTCAAGAAGTTGCAGAGATAATGGGGGGAATTCACAAGAAGCTCTAGCGAATCCACCACACGAAGAAAATTACACCGCGAAGGCGATTCTCTCTCTGGACCAACAGCCACCCGAAAAGCCTCTCAAATGACCAGAGAATCGGCGGTAGAAAAAAAAAGCAAGAATCAGCGCGCAAATAGATGTTCAATTTACCCAGGGAATTCCTGACTCTTCCACATCGACAGCAGTACAAGAATGGTAATGAGAGATGGCAGAGAGACAGAAAAAAGCCACCGATTGGGCTGTGGTGTCTTTTTTTAGGCCTCTTCGGAGAAATGAGTAGAATAAAAATACAGTCCGTTATTCTTTCTCTTCGGCTCTGTGCTCTCTGAACTTTCCCAAAAAGATCCGACGACGAAAGAACAAAAAACCAACGCAACGCGAGTTCAATCAATCACACGCACGGAACGGCAAAAGCTTCGAGCTTTTATAGCGATATATATAGTAGCATATGTAGCGCATGATATTCTCAGGAGGGGTGTGAGAAAGGATTGCTTGCTACATCATATTTTCCGTTCACAATTTCATTGGTGGTAAAAGAGATTTCACTTCATCCTCGTGTGATTTTATTTATAAGGTTTTAGATGAGAATATCAAAGTGTTTATGAGATTGGCAGATCAATAATTTATTATGTGATTTCTCACTAAATCACTTTAAGCCTGATTGGTTTATCAATAATAATGATAGTAGTGGGAAAAAGGACAGATAGATTCTGAATATTCCTGGAAACATATTCAAAATGAAGATGAATTTCAATGAAAAACAACTTAAAGTGGAATGAGTGTAGCATAAAAAAGCTCTTTCTCTCTCTCTCCATGGGCATTTATGCTACACTCTAAAGCATCCTGTGTACGATCAATAGAGGTTTGCAATGTGGAGAAATAAGGGACATTGGTGTGTGAAGCCAACCTGTCATGACGCCTCCCGTCGACGAGATGTCCCTGGCGATTGGGTTTGTCGTTCCCGAGGAGCCGGCCGCTTTCGTGAGTTGCGGCTGATGCTGGGCGATTGTCGTGACAACGAGGGTGGCCGTGGAGGTTGACGCGGCGCTGGTGGAGGAGGAGGAGGCGGTGGGGGAGGAGGTGGACAGTGTGGCAGATGAGGAAGTGTCTGTGGTGGAGGACGAGACAGCCGCTGAGGTCGCCTCGCCCACAATGAGGATCGTGGGTGAATTCTCCAGCGGTGTGAGAGTAACACTCTGGGGGGTGGTGGGTGGCGAAGAAGTGGGGAGAGACGGGGATAATTCGTTTGATGCCGCCACTTTGAATGAGTTTCCGCAACTGCAACGCAAGCTTCCTCTCTCGGACGCAAAATTCTGCACTTATAATTGCTCTCGTTTGTCCTTCTCGCCTGATGAACTTCTTCTCTTCCAACAGGCTTTGCACAGTTCTAGGAAATCTTTCACGGAAAAAAAAACACTCTCGCTCCTTCTTCAATATCTCTTCTCGCTCTCTCTCTCTCTCTCTACCTCGTCACAGTCTATCTACACCCCGCACTCGTGAACTTTCTCGCTGCCATTTGGGATGGGCTGCTTGTGGATGGGTGAACTTTAAAGCACACACTACATCTTGCCACCCTCAACTACGTCGCTTTTTATCCGCACACATACACACACTTCGGCTCCTTGTCTTCTGGGGTGCATCCACACCACACAGCCCCCACGAGAGACACTCGAGTCAGCCTCCGATCAAAAGCCACCCGCCCCCCTTCGTTGTAGTGCCTGCAATTGAGAGTTATTTACCCTCGATGTGACAATAGAACACAAAATCAGCGAAATTTACTCAAAATCGACCTTCGATTTTCACACGATTCCCTCTCTCCCTCGTCACACAACCGCGCGGATTCGTCTCTTCCACCCTTATATCGCCACAGCGCCCGGGATTCCCGGAAAAGCTACGGATTCCGACACAGGAGCTTTTCCTTCCCTCACCATTCAAACTAAAACACACCACACACCTTTTCTCAACCACCGCGGATTCTATTTGCGTTCTGCCCCTGTCTCTTGACTGAGCTTTTGACAATTTTCGTCGCACTTTCACACCACCACAGAATTCGTCTCTCTTCGCGCACACAGCATAGCTCTAAAAATTCCAATTCAGCTCAATTCTTCATTCGCCGAAGAGTTTTCCTCTGTGTTTTTTTCTCCCAACTCTCTCAACACTTCACCGTGAAACTTTTTCTCAAGTGTCTTGTCAAAGTAAAAATTGCAACTCTCAGATCTCTCGCGCCCTCTCGCTCTCGCTCTACGCTGTTTCGTAATCAATAACACACAATACACACAGCGATGGGGAGGAAAATCTACCAAATATGGCGGATTTGGGTGTTTTTCCTCATCGAGTGCGCTTTCACCACTTTCACCCACCCTCACGAGCGCTCACCAGCCGCACAGAGGATGTCTGTTTGCATTGCCGCCCCTCGAATGGGGCCGCGCACTAGAAGTGGGTGGCGGTGGTGAATTTTCCACCGGGCGGAAAAGCTGAGACTTCAACCCCCGGGATTTTCTCTCTCGATGAGTTTCTGATCGGGGAAAACTCCCAATCCACAAACACCGTGTACTTTTCTCCGTATCCTTGTGTGCGTTATCTTGTCATTTATCACTCCTGTTTTGTCCTCTTTCAGTCTCACTCTGATGAACTTTTCCGGAATTTTTCCTTATTTTACTTAAACTGTCACACCGCCAAAGTTAGAGCACAACATTTATGAAAATATCAGACTTCAATGATTCAGTCAATTTCGGAGAGAAAAAAAGAATCCTTTTTACACCATTGTACATTAGAGAGTTCCTTCTGTCTGTGTATAAATATTTTATTGCTTCAGTCCCGGAAATAGAATTTTCCCTGTCACTTTCAGAGGAATCAATTTAAGCAAAAGCGTGGATTTGTGCAGAACATAATCCAATTGTTCGATGAATTTTCACCACAAATTTGCACAAATTCTTGTACTTGTTAAAGATCCGTTTCAGGATTTGCCAAACGAATAACGATTAAACACGCAAATTTTTCGACACACCAACAATGTAGCACACCCTGAACAACACTTAAATGCCACAGAAAGAAACAACAAAAAAGAGAGATGTTTCAATGTGAATTCCTCCTGAGATAAACCCCCGTTTTTCTTTCGAGAAAGCTCACTCTCACAGAGGTGCGAATTTGATTTTAATGTTGACTCGCGTGATTCCTAGCACTTTGCCATTTGCGATATTTGCCTTAAAGTATGCGATTTAAACAAAAGAGTCCGCTGTATCAACACTCCAACGCCACTTGTCACTCGCTAGCAATGATTATTTCCACTTTTTTGTGAATGAAAAAGGACACAAGCGGAAGTTGATGCCGAATGTGGGTCGATTCCATTGTTGGATGCAATCTGTGACGTCGCTGAGAATTTTTTCTCCCACACCAGCAAAAAAAAGCTTCGGCTCAGTCCTTTTCACCCTCGTGGCGTGATTATGGGGTAGTTTTGACACTGTTTTCCCACTTACACTTCATGGAAATCAACAACAAACCATTCCAGTGATAGCGCACACGACAGAGACGACAGGAAGCGAGGAAAGACGCTTCGTCCTTGTTCAATGTGAGGAGAAGGAAGTGTTTGGACTGAGAAATAGAGGGAATTTCCCACTTCCGGCGTATAATTTTCATTGTATTGACAAAGTTTCCTTCTTAATTCAATTATCAGTGAATGGCAAATGAAATTGAATATTCAGGACACTGAATTTGACCACAAATTTCCAGTTAGGAGAAATTGTCAAGGGGAAATTCAAGCAAAGTGCGCAAACTCTCAGCAGGAAAAAAAGACAAATTAGATTAGAGATAAAGATATTTTTAACAACAACGGAGATTATACTTTGCAACAACACAAGTTACTTAACACACGAGTGTATCGAGAGGGATTACGAAAAATCCCACGAAGAGAACATTCTCAGTTCTTGCACACGAGAGAGGCTCAACCTTTTAATTTTTCATCTTGACATACCACAGCCGCAGTCATTAAAGGTAAAATGAGAAGAGATTAATGATAAAGATAGAATCCATTACAGATTCATGTAAGTAAATTCGTCAATTTGTTTTAAAATCAAGCCGAAAATTGTCGTAAATCAAATGGCCAAAGCAGCTTCGATAAAAATTCTCCGTTATCTTATGGGATTCCTCAAATCATATTTATAGTTAAATATTGGCGATTGTCTCTCTCTCTTCTCATATTTGATTAATGTTTGAGAAGACACACGCGGCAAGTTGATTTTTTTTTCTTTAGAGCTTTTGGGGAGTGGAAAATTCCTCAGCATCAGAAATCCTCATCAATTCGCCTGAGAGGCCATCACACGGCTTTCTTTTTTGCATTAGAAAAGATCACCAAGTGTGTGTGTGAGAAGAATGCGAGATTGTGGAGAATCACACGTTAATTTGTACGCACTTTACAGTGTTCTTCGCTGCCTCAGCCTTTTTTTTTTCTTCTTGCTTCTTTATATATTCTTTCAATATTTGAATCATATGGCAAAGTACCGTAACACTTGTCCTACTTTGCGTGATGGTCTCATCGTGTGTGCGCGCGCGCGAAATGCTCAAGTTTGCGCCTCTTTCGCGGAAAGAATCTGCAATCAGAGAAATTCTCCTCCTTCTGTGTTTGTGGACTCAAAACAGCCAAAACCACACTTCAACCCCATGTCGCCAAGCCTCTCTTTCTCGCTCTTTCTCTCTTATGTCGCTGCGGTGGGTGATTTTCAGCCAGCAGCATTGCCAAGAGCTTGATTGGCAAAACCTGCCCGCGAGGAGGTAATTGAGAATTCCACGAGATCCGGGTTCTCTCTTGGCGATCCAAGAATGTCTCATTGATTCTTGTGCAACTTTTTCCTCCCGTCACCACACGCCGTCGTCTTTCTCCGCGTTTTATCATTATGCTTTCTTTCACCCATTCTTTTACAACACCATCATCGCTGGCCTCTCTTAGCATAGAGAGAGACAGACAGCATTAATGTGTATGAGAAGAGCACAGTTAACTGTTAATTTTTATGGTAAACTTATGTTACTTCTACGGTACAATCCCTCTCCTCCAAATGTGCATCCCATCGCTATGCTTAGGAAGCGCGCGCGCGCTTTTTTTCTCTCTCTCTTGCGCCTCTCATTCAATTGCCCATATATGTAGTCTTTTCTTCACTTCAATTTGCTGTAATTGTTTGTTTACATTGCATCAATAATGTGCTTTTTACCACCCGACATCACTCTTCTTTATTTTTTCCATTCAGCTGACTTTTAGTGCCTTACAATAGAAAGCACTTAGCACAGGAATAGTGGCATTCATGAGCCACTCTTTGCGCCCGGAGAGTGTCTTTCTTCGGGCCACTTTCATTCGTGCTCTTGCATCACAATTACCGCACAAGCGCATGCATTCTTCCCGCCAAATTCCCTCATTCTTCTTCTTCTCCCCAAAATCGGGAAGAAAGTTGATAATTGTGCACAAAAATTCTGCGCCCCGAAGGAGCGAAACAACAACAACAAGAAGAGAGACACAGAAAAAACGAGATGCTTTTCACGGGTTGTCCCGCAGGAGGAAGAATTTCGAGCGAAAATTTATTAAAAGTAACACATAAATAAAATGGTAAAAGGCCAATAATGACAGGTGCATACCGTTACCTTAATCGCCCAGTAAATATTCTCTTGTGTCTCATTGGGAAAACAGGTAGAGTTTGTGTGTGACTCTTTTCTTGTCCGTGCTCTTCTGTTCCCCCTCAACTTTGCATCCTCAATCGCCGCCGAGACCCGCCAAAATTTTATTATTTATCATTTGTACAAGCAATTTCAAGCCCAGAAAATTATTATAATTAAGTCTTTCCTCCCTTTTGTGAGACGTGCGCGTCTTCTCGCCCAGAGGCCTCTCATCTTCCCCAATTCCCGAAAACACCACCACCGACCAGAGAGAGAGAGAGAAAGACTTCCAGACATGATCGTAAATTTTTTCCCTCCACGGCGACGACTCTCTTCATGCCCAAAACGATGCGGCATTTCACAATTATTACATACATATATGATGATTAATATTGAAGAATGCAAACAATTTTCAGCATGGATGGAAATCACAAACATATTTTTCGACAATAAATGCGTCATCGTGTAATTTTATTCACCTCAACTACACCTCTTTTCTCTTGTTTCGACCATATAGTTCTTTTTCAGGAAGGTGTTTGACCCGCAGATCGTTTTGTTTTACTTGTGTGTTGTCTTCTGTTGTTTCTCTGTTGTTTTTTTTTTGGCCAGTGGGAGAATTTTTACGGCTTATTGACAAACATTATGAAATTTAAGCATTCAATCTCTCTCAAGGCAAAATATTCAACATGAATATCAATTGGAGAGGTTTTTGCAGTTAAGAATATCGGGATTTTTTTTCAGTCTCAGCGCGCGTGAAAAGACCCATTGAATTCAGCACAGACACCGCCAGAGAGACAGAGAGAAGTTGCCAGAACTTCTTCAGTAGAATCAAAAAATAAAACAGTAAAAGAGGTTCGGCGAGAGAGGCCAAGACAATTGTAATATTCCCCGAGACAATATCAACGGTGAAAATCTGCAAAATCAAGTATTTATATATGGAGACTCACCTCTAATTGTACTTGGCATTTTAAAATTCTTTCCTTCCACAAAATAATCCAATTCACTTCTCCTTCCCCTTGGACGGCGCACGCTTTTTCTCTCTCTTCACCAATCAACAAATCCGAAAAACCTCCAGTTGCTCTCGCCTTCCTCCGATCGTCACTCCTTGACAGTGCGGAGCACAAGAAGCTGATAAATTCCACCAGAGAGTGAATATATCGCAAGACAATAAATTAAATCCCTGTCACTGGATCGTTCACAGCAATAATCCATGAATTGTGCACTTTGCTGGATGCCTCATTGAGAGTTTCATTTGTACTATTGTGCCATTTGCGATAATCTCGATCACTCATGTAGTTTTTGTCATCCCACTTGACAAATGGCGACGACAATTTGCACCATTCCGACAGTTTCAATCTCTTGATCACTTCACTATTAGACGATGGCACATACATTTGATGCTCCCGTCCACTTGAATTCTATCCTGCCAATGCAATTTTCCCTCACCACACCTCGTCCTTGGAAAAGTGGCCAGCAAACGAATCTCAGTACGTCTCTCAGTCACTGTTCTTCTCGTACCATTGCACACTGCGCAGAGAGATTCAATATCACTGATAAATCCTCAAGAGTCACTCATTCACATCCTTGTCAACCAAGTCTAAGCGCGCAGATGCTTGTGCTCAAAGCCTTTTTTCTTCTTCTTCTTGGGCACAATCAATTAGCAGCGGATTTCAGCTGGACAAGCGCATAACAATTGATGATGAGCCGGAAGAAGTTGCTGCTGGGAAAAATCCTTTCACAATCCACACCTCTCTTTTGCCACACAAGAGTAAATTGTGCTCCTTGAATGGGTAGAAAACGCGCAATAACAAAAATACGGAAATGAAGAAAGGCATGGAAAGCAACACGATAACGTAGAGTTAAATAGCACAAGAAGAACTGTTTCCACCTCTGATGCTGCCTCAATGTTCTTGCCCGTTGTTGTAGGGGCACCGCGTCTTTGTCGTCATTCGGTTGCCCACGATTGGAAGTCAATGCTGGAAGCTCCCCAATGATGATGAGGAGATGTTTATTGGTATGTTCTCTCTACCCATTTGCCATGGTGTTCGTTTCCCATCTCACCATCTCACTCCAGCGCCCACCTGCCCGTGCACAGTGAGAGCAAGATGGGCGCTGGGCGCGAGAGAAGGCTCCTCTCTCAGTGTTAGAATTCTTTTCTCCACACACAAGACAGTGCGAGAATGAAAAGAATCAAACATTCTTGGGGTGTGTGACCTCAACGGGCGGCTCTCTCTCCCAGATGCCACAACAACAACAGAGCAGCAACATTGAGCAACGCACACTTCTTCGGGATGACCAACCATCTCTCGCTCTGGCACATCTCTCTGTCTCCCTGTGCGGACGTCTGTCTCCCTCCTCACCTCAGTCACATGCACACACTTGGGGACTTTTGGAGCAAATTCCGGGCAGAGCCGGAAGGGAAAATGATCCAACGGTTGTTCCCGCTGTGACAACATCAACTGCACCCGCGGAGCGTGTGTGTGGGCAGCCGAGAGGGAGTGAAGTCCTCTGAAACAGTAGCCCACAAAATCCCGATGCTAAGGAGCCTGTGCTCATATTAAAATGCGTGACTCTTGGAAATTCAACCTCGGCCAAAACAGACGCAGCGCCCTTAATGGACAACGCGAGCCCTCCTTCTCAACACTATTAATCACTGCCATTGGGGATATGATCAAACCCAGAATTCACCGGCATCACGACGACGGAGGCCCCCAAAAAGTCGCCGCGAGAGCGAGATGAAGAAAAGAAAAATGCTGCGCGCGGGAAAAAAGAACGAAGAAAACTCAAACACCCAGAAATGGTCAATGAACTGGACCATTGGAAGGTCCCAGAGCACTCAAGGAATCAACTTTGCTCTTTTGGGCCAAAGAAGTTCTTTTCTCTACCTCACTTTTTTTCCCCTCTTCTTCTGCTTTATCCATCATATAACCTCCACCACACAGAACCATCGAAAAGGTATCCATGCAAGTAGAGAGAATCCAGCTGCCTTGTGGGGGACTCCCTTTCCTGATCAACCGCTCAAGGGGGAGGAAATTATCTAAGATCTGGATTTCTAACTTGCTAAAGACACCTAGCATACTAAACTGTCCATACTATTTAGCTTACAAAAATGTATTATTTTGCAAATCTTCATTTGAAATCCTTTTTGATTTGAAATGAAATTTTTGAGGTTATGTTTCACTTAAAAACTGCCATTTTTATCCTTAAACTTCTGCGATTGCATCATTCATTCAATACAAATGCTCAACTTTGCCATATATACATTTAAATTCTTTTTTTATGCATCAAAATTGATGTTTAGTAAGGTTATGCTATTAATTTATCAAAAAATTGGTTACATAACCTAGAAATGTATTTTGTATTGGTTTGTTCTACGCAAAACAAAACAAAATTGACGCTTTTTATTAAAATAAAGAAGAGAAAGAAGTTTTTGATATCTAATTGCAAGTATTTAAAAACTTTTTACTACTTGCGGTAAGCTTTACAGTATTTCGAAGGATAATATCTCCCCCTTGGCACAGCACACAGTGTGTGAAAGAGCATTTTTGGAGGTTTTTTTTTTTCATCTTCGAGCCTCCAAGAACCAGAAGGTTCTTCCATGGCCCACAATAAAACAATCTAGAATGCCTTAAGCCGCGGCTTCATGTCTTAAGCCTCTTCCGCATCAGAGACATTTGACTCTTATGTGAATTGAAATGCTACAAGCTGGAAACCTTATTAGGCTGGCCTCTGGCAAAAAAATATATATCAACCATTGAGATCTCTCGCGGACCACGATGATTACAACCAATTATAATCAAATTAGGAGTTCAGTTAATCCGCACGAAATATTGCGAAATTCAGCCAAAAAAATCTATTGAGGTTAAGAGAATATGTATTTAAGGAATGAATTTATAGCTGAGATAAAGATATCACAGCATCCCATAAACCACTACGGTTACCGTTTCACCTTTTTGGCTTCCTCGTCTGCGGATTATTTTGCATATTTTCCCAAGTCTATCGCCAATATATATATTAATCTCTCTTAATGCTGCCTAAACATAATCACACACATTTGTCACTCTTCTCCATGCCGCATTCTTTCTTCATCTCCTGACCACCATAAGTCATGATCAGGCAAATAGAAGACAAGGTGGAGGAGAGACAAAAACCAGCCATCGGGTATAAATTAACTAATTACACCTGGAAGATTCTGAGAGTGAGGTGAAAAATAGAAGAAAAAATTCTACATACACATAAAGAACAAATTAATATTGAGACGAAAGAGAGTTGATTGTAGATGAAGAATAATATCAACATTTTACCAACAATTTCTCCTTCTTTCTCCCCAAGTTTAATGGTACAGTTTTCTTCTTCTGTTTTTTGTTCTCTCTCGGGGCAAAGAGGAAGACTGAAGATGAGGGAGAAAGAAGAGAAATTTAAAGGTGTAATGTACCTCCTTATTCCATTTCTTGTCTCATTGCCACAGTGAAACCACACCAGCCAAGAGAATCCACACACGCATACCGCGATCTTGCGCTTGTGCACGAGAGAAAGAGATCGGGCGAGGAAGGCCCATCTAAGAAAAAGAGCACAAGAAGATGAGGTGTATTGAAGTTGAATTTACCGCTATATGAGCCACGGAGGTCAACGAACGTACTCACAGTGCGACACACAAGAAATTTAATACAGAAATATACATGAAATTCTTCAGGTGTGTTTGTACATGTTTCAGAATCTTTAGCCATCTCACTCATTCTTCTTCGCTTCTCTTCTCTTTGCTTTTTTCGCCTCTTTCCCAACCCAACAATATATGAGTCAACTCCATGACAATTTCATACACAAATAGCTCATGCCGTAATGAGTGTAAGTTTTCACATTGGACACCGCGGACTTCCATAGTGCGCAAAAAAGCGCATCAATATGAAGAGAGAAAGAATGGAAAACCACGAGAGTCAATTGGATGAAGCTTTTCGACAAAGGAACAAATCAAGCATTTTTTCTTCTCTCATCGCGCGCGCCTATTTGGCAGAGATAAAAGATGAGAACAAATTATCTGCAATAATTCTCTTACACCCTAATTGAGCATTGAATGAAAAATGGGCGACTTTTTGCCACGGCACGAGAATCACAAAAGATTTCATCTCACGCGGCAGAAGAATCTCTTGCCAACAAGACGAGAAACCTCGTGCAAAAGTCAAAGATGTCACTGCGCAACAGCCATGGACCATGTGAATTGTGTGTGACAGTGTGAAAAACCCACCCCCAAAATCTACCCCACACACGATCAGTTTACCCCCCTAAAAAAGGGGGTATAAAAGGCGACATCCTGGACGATTTCACTTCAGTTTTTCCCTGAAAGTCACCAAGTGAAGAGTGAATCTCTTGGCTTTCCCACGGAGTTTCATTGAGAAAATTCTCCCTTTGCTTCTTTGTTTCAAACTCAACTCACTCTAATAGCATTAACGTCGGGTTCAAGTGTATATTCCAACTTCCCCACCATCGCGAGGAAGCCAGAGAAAATTCCACAAAACACCGCGGAAATTTCGCGAAAGTGGTTTTCAGTGTTAACATTTCCTCTCCTTGACTCGCTGTCTCATTGAACTTGCTGGAGAATTTCTTTTTGAACTACATATTTTCACAATTATTATTATTAAAACCCATTGTCTTATGCAATGCATTTAAACAAATTGCACCATTTGCTCCTTCTGTAGTTACTTGGCAAGAGTAAAAAGAAGAGATTCTCCAACAGAGTTCCACACATCTTATTTCCAATTCGCCAAAAGACAATATATATATACATATACATAATGGATTGTGAGGAGTATCGGAGACGAGGTAATAAATTCTTCCATCATCTGCCAATCCCTTCGCAAGCAATTCACTCAGCATGTGAAAATGTGTAAAGTGCATTAAAGGATTTTCCGAGGATTTCACACAATGACCATTGCCCCAATGTTATTGCCTTGCAAATTTTATTGAGTTAAATAACTCCCCAAATTGGATTCATTTTGATAGTCCCAATCTTTGCTCATGTCGCACTGATTTCCTCTCTTTCTCTCTGTCTCACTCCGCCCCGAAGGCAAGGAGATGGTGGACTACATTGCAGACTATCTGCAGAACATACGGGAGAGGCGCGTCTTTCCCAACGTCACGCCCGGCTACATGAGAACCCTCCTGCCGGACTCCGCTCCGCTCGAGGGCGAGAGTTGGGAAGCAATTTTCGCCGATGTGGAGCGCGTTGTGATGCCCGGAGTCACTCATTGGCAGAGTCCTCACATGCACGCTTACTTCCCAGCGCTCAACTCTTACCCATCTCTCTTGGGTGACATGCTAGCGGATGCGATTAACTGCCTGGGCTTCACATGGGCGTCCTCGCCGGCGTGTACAGAGTTGGAGACAGTGGCGATGAATTGGCTGGGGAAGATGATTGGACTGCCGGACGATTTCCTGCACATGGGCAGCTCAAGTCGTGGCGGCGGTGTGATCCAGACAACAGCCAGTGAAGCCACTCTTGTGTGCCTCCTGGCTGGCAGAACCCAAGCCATCAGGCGCTTCCATGAACACTCACCAGGACTCCAGGACTCCGAGGTGAATGCCCGCCTCGTGGCCTATTGCTCGGAACAGGCTCACTCGAGTGTGGAAAAGGCCGCTCTCATCGGTGAGAATTCAATCCAAAACTGACACAAAAGAACCATATAAAGAATCCTTTTCTGCCTCCTTTCAGGTCTCGTGAGGATGCGCTACATTGAGGCGGATGAGAAATTGAGCCTTCGCGGTGAGCCACTTCGTGAGGCAATTGAGAGTGATATTCAGCAAGGATTGATACCATTTTGGGTAAGTAAAAAAAATCACACCTCACCAATCATCATTTATTATTTTCTGCTGCTGTTGTGATGTTGGAAAATTGGTCTCTGGGGAAAATCTCCATCTCAAATTAAAAGTGAACAGAACTTGACAATTGGACAGAGTGACAAACCACTGAGTATCATGGTTAATACCGAAGAGTGTGAGACACACGACGACAGATTGTGAAAAGATTTCTGACAAAGCGGATTGCCTTCCCCATCCACTCTTGTCTTTGCGCGCGTGGGTATTTCGCCCGACGAAAGACACTTAAATAAACTACCCATTCCACCACACCCCCTCCCCCTCTTTCTCTCATGGGGATCCAATTAATGAGAACTCCCTGTTCTGTTTTTTTGCTTCCCTCCACAATCCTCAGGGATGAAAATCACGCCTAATTGCCAATGCTCTTTAAATGCATCTCTGTCTCTTCTCCCCATCTAATCCGGTCAGGTCTGCGCCACTCTGGGCACAACAGGAGCTTGTGCCTTTGACAATCTCGAGGAAGTGGGCACAGTTTGTCAGGAGTTCAAACTCTGGCTCCACGTGGACGCCGCCTATGCGGGCAGTGCTTTCATCTGTCCGGAGTATCGAGGATGGCTCAAAGGGATTCGCCGGGCAGATTCTCTGGCTTTCAATCCCTCCAAATGGCTCATGGTGCACTTTGATTGCACAGCTCTGTGGTGAGACAGCAAAGACGATTGGAAATGTTGTGTATTCACAAAATCACATCTTTTCAGGGTGAAGAATAGCGGAGCCTTGCATAGAACCTTCAATGTTGAACCACTCTATCTTCAGCACGAGAACTCTGGCTTGGCTATCGATTACATGCACTGGCAAATTCCGCTCAGCAAGCGATTCCGCGCCCTCAAGCTCTGGTTTGTTCTGCGAAATTACGGCATCAAGGGCCTCCAGAAGCACATCCGAGAGGTGAGAGAGAGAGATAGATCAATGTCTCCCGGATAATCACTCAATTGCAGGCAGTCAATAATCATGATCTCTGTCAACTTGGCAGGGTGTTCGCCTGGCGCAGAAATTTGAGGCACTGGTTTTGGCTGATCATCGCTTCGAAATACCAGCCGCCAGACATTTGGGTGAGATTCTTGGAAATCCCTCTAATCTATCAATTCAATCTCTCGCACTCACTTGAGGCGGTAATGTGTCCACGCGAGTGTTGGTTGGAAATCAATAAAATTAATTGTTATCTCGTGAAGAAAGTTCCCCAAAATATTCACCGTTAAACACTTCACAGAGTGAAAGAAAAACCGCGGGTGTTTTTTTTTTCATTTATACACTCTTTATCTCTCCTCGCAAAGAGGCGAATTGTGTGTCTGTGCCTTTCATCTTCTACCCATTTTTGGCATCCTCCAGTCCCAATAAAATTCTTCTCTTCCTGATGCCGCGACTCATTCGCGCCCGTCATCTTGACACATTATTGCGTGCGTTAATACGCGAGATTCTGATTCCTTCTTCTTCTCTTTTACATTCCCATCTTGCACCATCATCAATTGAGAGAGTTGGAAAAGAACAATTTCACAAGTATAATAAATCCATTTCATTTTTTCACCCAATCCATTATTATTGCCTCTTTTGCTCCGCCAATTGGATCTTCTCTACCCACCAGCCTCGAGGCGAAAAATTGTATGGATAATTTGTAACATTAAATACCAATTTTGTCAGTTTGAAACACCATGAAAGACAATTTTACCCTCGCATTGCGCCTCCTCCGCCTTTCTCTGCGCTCTTTCTTGCCACCCAGTTCAAAAGAAAATCACCAAGACCTCCGGTGAATTTTGCTCGATGATCTGGCGGGATTTGCCATGATCGAAATATCCCACAAAACCACTGCCAAGACTTTGCTGTGTTAAGTAATTCCCAAAGGAGGATTAAAGACACACACACACACACATTCACTCCGTCCAGAAAGCTCCTCGGCCAGCAAAAAAAATCGCCTTAAAATGCGCTTAATCATTCTTTGCCCAGGGAATTGCAAAATAAATTTCTCTCACTGAAGATGAAATTGCTAACGGTTCTTCTTTCATTTCTTCTCATCTCGAGAATCGCGCGCGCGCGAGAAGAAAAAAAAAGCTGAAGGAGCACTCAAGAAGTCTCTCATTTTTTCGGCATTGTCCATCTTTTCTTCTTTTTTTTCTTATATTTCGCCCTGTGAGTTTGTAATGTTGCGCCTTGAAAAAATGATTACCATTTTCTTATCCGCCTCTTGACGGCGTCAAAAACCATTTTCTGCCATCTCAACATTCCCAAATCATGTTCCAGGCATGGTGGTGTTTCGCTTGAGGGGCGACAATGATCTCACCGAGAGACTCCTCAAGAGGCTCAACAATCGCGGCAACTTGCACTGCGTGCCGGCATCCCTCAAGGGACGATATGTCATCCGCTTCACCATCACTTCGGCGCGCACCACCAACGAGGACATCCTCAAGGATTGGGCAGAGATCCGAACAGTGGCCACGGAAATCCTCGAGGAGATGAACGTGAAGATTGAGCGGACAAGAGTGTGTCTCAAAGGTGAGAAGATTCGTGGCTGGAAGCAGAAGTTAGAGCTCTAATCGAATCTCATCTTCCTTTTTTCCAGACACTCGAGAGAAGAATGAGGCTTTCGGCTCAAGTCTCCTCCTGGCCAATTCACCAATGTCACCGAAGATTGTCAACGGTTCCTTTGCTGCCATCTTCGATGCCGATGAGTTTCTGGCCAAAGCATACGCCGGCATAAGAATTGCTGTAAACATTCACTTGCTCTTCTCCCAGAGAAAAAAACAGACACCCATTCACTGTGTGCTTCTTTGCCTTCCAGAATCAAGACTCTCCGGCGATGAGACGCCGCGTGCGTGGCATTCTCATGTCCGGCAAGCAATTCTCCCTGGACTCTCGCATGGATCTCGTCGTTCAGGGCATCCACAACAGCAGCGATGGTGAGAATTTCCTAGACAAAAACCGCACCATCACCGAGGACAACGAGGATCCGTGGGAAGGTACGAAGGGAAGGTATTGATCACGATTTCTCATTCGGTGTCGTGTTTGCATGCTCATCAATTTCACCACACAAATCTCTAAACTCACAGACAAAACTCAAGAAATCCTTTAACTTTCTCTTCCCCTTCATCAGCTTATGAAGAAACAAACGCCATTCAGGAAAATGCTACAGACATCGACAAGAAGCTCCAGAACATCCGATTAAGAAACCGACAACGTTCCAACAGTGCGGCAGAAGCGAATCCGATCCCTAAACACACAATTCCCCGGAAAACTCACTTCAGAACTCACAGAAAGTCCGAACCAATTCTTCCTTTCTCAAGAATACTCAGAGAAGAGGAGAATTTCCCCAATATTCCACATGTCAACTCTTTTGCCAGCAATCTTGGTGATTCCTGTGGCTTTTCCAATCCCGCCTTTTTCCAGGAAATCATGGGCTTCTCCCAGGATGAATGTTTCGAATGGAATGTGCCGGAAAGTTCCTGGAAAACTCCCCACATTCACATCTCCGTCACTGATCAATGTAACACCATTCATGAGGATGACAATCAATCACCTCTTGAGGAAACTATCTATGCCAATGTGAAATTCTGTCGAAAATGTGGTCATCATTCACTTAAGATTTAAAAACTAGTGCTTTCCGCGCTTTATTTGTATTTACAGAGAGTTTATGAGAGTTTAGGAAGGAGAAAAAAGCTGTAAAGTTTCCCATAATTTGCAATCGTTAAAGCTTCGTTGCTGCTTTTGATGAATTTACTTAAGATTAATGTGAATGTTAAAGAATTGCGATTTAAACAATCTTACTAAAACCAAGAAATATTGAAAAATGTTACTCCAAAGAGAACTTGTGTATTATAAATAGAGAAGCATCAAATACTGCTGTGCTATCAATAATAATAATGTTGTTGAGAGAAATTTCATCTCCTCCAAATTTGCTGTAAATTCTATGTCTCAAAACAATGCTTCAACCAGTGTTTCTTGTAGCTTCAATCAATTGAAAACTGTTCAACAAATATATACGTAATCAAATCATATCCTCACCCAATTTATTTCGATGTCAGCCAGATGGGAAGTCCTCGCAGATCAATTGCAGCTCTCATGTAGATTGGCAGCGAATCCGTGCTGCGAATGTCAGCAAAGATCCCCAAAATACTCGGGTTGTGAAGATTTTCCCAAGCTGGATTTGCATTCTTCACAAACTCAATTTCACCCTTCCTGAAGGATGCTTCGCTGCACAGCGCAAAGTGCTTCTTAGCCTTCGACTTGAACCACGTGCTGAGAACTCTGGCAGTGAGTTTATCCGTGGGAGAATCAGTGATGATGTTCTTCGACCCAATGACAAGCGGACTAGAGTTGGAGGAAATAACAGAAATTAGCAGAGATAGTTGGAATTTATTAAATTAGAAATGTGTATTTTATCTCACCATAGAACAGAGTGATAGTAGAGATGAACAGCGGTCATTTCGCTGCAAAAACCATCAGCTTTCAGCTTAACTGAGTCACATCCGAACAACATAACAACACAGTTGAGAGTGTCTTTTATCAAATCTTCTGGTTTTATGTACTTCAAAGCATTCCCATGGCCACAAAAGCTGAAAGTGTGGACAGAAAACTTATGAAAATCACAAATTTAGCGCATTTCCTTCGTTTTACTCACAGGAAAATATCTGCAGACTCGAGGATCTTCCTGAACTCCTCAGACTTTGGAATCTCTCCAACAATTTGCTTCCACTCTGGCAGCCAGTAATTGAGAAACTTCGTTACTCTCTGCTCCATCTTTGGCAAATCACTCTCGGGATTTATCATTGTGCTTCCCTTCTTGATGTCCAGATGAAGATATCCATTCTTAATCTTCTTCTGGTACTTCTCAAACAGTCTCAAGAGGATGTGAAGGGAACTGACTCGCGACATTTCATTCGACGGCAGCATCAATTCCCATGGAAATTGATCCAGCAGTTCATCAACAATGATAATGGTTGGAAATCGCGCAGATTCATTCGCTGGCGCTGGGAAATTATTGTCGTTGAGGAACTTTTTGATAATCTTGCACTCTTTCTCATCTCTGGCAATGTCTTTTGCGGCAATCTCCACATCATCCGGCGACAAGAGATCCAAGGAGCAGCTGATAATGCTGAGGAGGATTCTTTGGCGATTGGAGAGCTTCTTTTGCGCCGCCAATAGATCCACATTGGCAAATATTTCCATCTCCCAGGCGTTATCTGAGCTCTTCGAGCGTCCCTGGAACAGAACTATCCATGGACCAATCCAATTGATGACCAAATCAATCATTCGCAGATACTTCTCGTCCAGCTTCCGCAAATTACTCCAGTAGATCTCTCGATCGACACCCGGATTGGACAGCAAATTGCGATGCTCCTGCGTGATGTCGTTCACCATCTTGTACAGATTCTCCTGCGCAAATGGTGGAAGATAAACGCACAGAGGTTCATGGTTGTTGAGATCCGCTCTTGGGTACTTCAGCAGAGTGAGAAAGATGCCCTGATTGCTGGAGATTATCTCACTTTGGAGAGAATGCGCTGCGTTTGGGTCGAAATTCTTGCACAACTGCAGCACAATCCACTCTTCAGGCAAATCACGGCACTTCCTCACCAGTGCCTTGGGATCCACGTGCTCCTGACACTTTGTCTTTGCAGAATCTTTCGTTTTGGCTGGCTCAGAACCGAAGAAAAGAACACTGAAATGACGCAATGTTTACGAAACATCTGAGAAACAAGGTGAATTTTTCACTCACGGCTTAAAGTCTGAGGCAGATTCTGTGTCAGCGTGATGAGATGCTATATTACGCAGCAATTTCACATAGAAATCTGAGTGAGACAGAAGACATCAGTATCAGGAATTCCTGTTAAACCTCACAATTCTTACCGTTATCGCTGTTATCACTTTTGTCGTCGTTGAGGAAGAACTTTGTCCGGAAGCCCAAACACAGTGCCTCAATTTGACGCTCTATTGACTCCTGATGCTTTCCCGCTATGTACCGATCATTGGCTTCATGGAGGAGAATGCCTTCGTGGACAAAAAATCAATTAGTGAAGCTGATAAGGAAATTTGATTAGGTGAAAGTGGGTGAAATTTCCTAACCTCTAAAAGCCGGATCATTTTTCAGAGTGTTGCAGCACTCTCCCAGCGATAAACTGCCACTCGATGAGGCTCTGTGTGGTGCTTCTGTATCTCTTTTTGGCATTTTCACTCACCTTACCTGCAATTTATTCAAGAAATCCGCGAAAATGTGTCGTTTCGGAAGCGCAACAAGTCCCGGCGACGATTGAGGTCACGGTCAACTGATACGCAGTTCCTCCGCAACTGGCGCTGTGAACCACCATGCCAGCAGCGATCCTAGTGGTTCATAGCCAAAGCGCGAGAATACGAAAATCCGCACTTAAAACTTCCTAACGACTGAAGCGTCTGAAGTTGATGGAGTGAGAAAAGAGATTAGGAAATTACAAAATATGGGTGAAATAATCAAAAACCACAGGTGAAAATATCCGTAAATCACTAATGACATCATATTCCAGCGAATGAGAAATATATTACAATTAGTAAGTGTGGAAGGTAGTGAAATAAATCACCTTTTTACGTCCACAATGTTCATAATGGCACAAATTCGCTGTCTTACTATATGCAAAAATATGAAGAAATTGGCTCAGACAGTACATGAAATCCATTCTAATAGCAGGAAAACATTATAATTTGATATATAAAAATCAGTTGCATAACAAATACTCGACTTCTTCCACTTTTGCCCGCGGAAAATATGCTGGAAATATGTGTGAAAGAGTGTATTTTTTTTAATTTCTCTAAATTACAGTTTGTGCACAGATAGCACACAATGCATGAGAGTCATTACAATCCAGCGGTACAAAAGGTTCCTCGCGCTCAAGGTGGTGATGTGGAAAAAAAGAAGTCAATTTGCTGGTCAATTGGGAAAATCACTTCCCAAATGCGGAAGTTGGGCTGGAAAAGTAATCCGTCGGTCTCTTGTTTCATGGGCTTGTAACACCCAAGAGGTGCAAATTGACGGGCAAAGTAGCCAATTGATACAGCAAAACGTTACACACACTCAACTTTCAATGGGACTTGTGTTATTGCGCGCGGGGAAAAGGAATCATCGGCAGATCAATTATCATGTCTTTTGCTGCACTCTTTTTCTGCGCAATTCGCAGAAACTCTTTCCTGATGTTCAACACAATATTGGAAACATAAACAAAACGCAGAGTAATTAAATCGGTGCGAAGTGTTTAGGCTAAGTGACATTTGAAGTGCTGCAAATGTCTTGTAGGGAAAGTTTGGATAGATTTGTGATATAAGAATTATATTTTCTCATTCTCTGAATGTTGCGTGGCTCAAGGGTGAGATATCGAGGATATATTCGAGAAAGATTGGCCTTCTTGACGCGACTTTAGTCGCCAAAATGACGAGCCTCTGGCAAAAGTTGGACAGATTTCTTCGCAGATTATTTTCTCATCAGTGAAAACACCCACATTTTGTGACCTCAAAAGCGTGGACATCACCAAAAATGCCCATGAATCGTCGCCAAAAACTTCACACTGGCCCAGCGCTTCCGCAATATTTCGCGCTGACCACAAAAAAACAAGACGTGCGGCCTTTTTTCTGCGCTGAAGGTGCAGAAATTACAGCACATTCACTTACCACTTCGATAATGACTTCCTTATTCCAAATCTCTGAGCCTCTTGCGAGGTGTCTTCATCGCCATGATCCAGCATTAATGATCTGCAAATGAGATTCGTGTGCGCTGGAGCAGCTTTTACACACTGTGAAGACGGAAGTGAATCTTGCCCATTTCACCGGCTGTTCCTTCCTTCTGCCAAGAGCCAAAGATGCACAGCGCTGCATGGCGAATTTGGTGGAGAAAGAGCGCCAAGATTGAGCGCGTAAAAAAAAGGCAGTGGATGAAAGTGCAGGCAAACAAAGAGCACAACAGCAGTGAGAGTGGCGTGTTTATGGTATAATTGTCAGGCCATTTCTACTCCGCAATCTATCATTTCAATTGTGGCTCAGAATTGATGAGATAATAGCAATAATGAGTGTGTGGATTTTAGTGTGGAAATTTTGTAAATTATAATCGACAAAAAGTGAATAATTATTTGAATATTCAAGCGCATTTCTTACCTAACTCAACATCCTCAAAATACACCAAGATTACTCTATTAAACGATGGAACCGACGCTTTAAATTTCACTTTCTACGCATTTAAAGTGGTCATTTGACCATTTTACACTGTCTATTAAGTGAAAAATTATCCGATTTTTTCGTCTGCAGGTCTCTTTACACAGAAATATTTATATACCATATTATTCATTCTATTTGTGTGCAAAATATTCATACCAGGAAAAAAACGCGCCAAAATTTCACAAAAATTACAAACACCACAGCAAAAACGCCACCAAAGGATTAACCATGGAAAATTGGCCAGAAAATTGCTTAAAAGTCCATCAAGTGAATCAATGTCGACTTGTCGTCTTTCTCTCCGAACTTTTCTTTGTTTGGCAGGGCGAAAAAAAGTGCAGCGCGCCAAGAGAGGCAAAAGACTGCTGGCGAGAGAGACAAAAAAAGGCGCAGAGTTGGAGAAAAAGAAGCAAATTGATCCATGTTGGCTGTGGCTGGGTATTTTCGTGATTGCACGAAGGAGTCCTCCATCACTTTCACTTGGATCATGTATAATATAAGTTATTTGAGTGCGCCAAAACATGAAACATGCTCAGTGCGAGAGGGAGAGCAAGCCATCCACAGCAAGAAGATGAAGAAAAAAAGGCAACATTCATCGAGAAGACGATCACAAGACCGGAAAGTTCGGTGGCTCTTTTCTTCCAACCATAAATGCGTAGCGCGTCTCTCAAACTCACCTTCGAGTTCATCTTTCTCTAGGCCTCTTCATCGCCATATCACGCGCTCTCAGCCACGCAAGGGCATTAAAAATCTATTACAATATTTATATCACTGAGCATGAGCATGAGATTGGTAAGAAATGCGAGTGGTAATTCACGCTGAAAGCCATAAAGAAAATCCACAGAGTGCAACACAAAACACATCCCTCAAGTTCGTTCGCTTCTTTTCGGGGCCTCGTGATGCAACCCAGTGAACCGGAGCTTTCGACTCCCGCGAGAGTCCATTAGCTCCTCATGAGCTCTGCACACGCCGGTGACTCACGAAGGTCACAGTGAAACTCTCCGCGCGATCTGGAGGAGGAGTGGGTCAAAAGAAAACGAGTGGAGATGCAAAAAGAGCATCGCGAGGCTCCAGGCGGATGTTGATGCGAGGGAAATTTTGTGGGTCATGCAATTCAAGAGCATAAAAATTATGCAATTCCGAGCAGAAAGTCCGCGTGACGATGATTGAGTGCAACGAGGAGGCTGAGTTTTTCGGTAGCCCAGAGATTCTCTTGCAGTAATTAACACTAATCTCACTTATTTTGATGGTTGATAGGCAGCAGAAAATGAAGGGAAAATCAGATGAAGATGTGATCTGATAGAAATGACGGATTCTAGACAGTTGTAGGCTATGAAATAATCTATTCAAAACGCCATTCTTCGTAAAAATCCACAGAAAAATGACGCCACTATGAGATTTTTACGTATTTCTTTACAATTGTAGGCAATTAAAACACTTTCTTGAAAGCAGATCGTTTCAAATTGACACTTTTCAACATTTCTCAGGTCGCCAAAAGTGTTAGAAAGAAAGGCCGAAAAATTGATATTCAGTATTCATTTTGTTGAACTGTAATTTAAAGATTTTATCGCTTGCAAAGAAAAGCATTTCTCACCACAAAAGAAGGTTAAAGTGTTAAGAAACCACCCAAAACTGATGCCAAATCAAAAGTATCTTTAAATCCAGACTAAAGTCCGTGACAAACATGAGCTGATGAAGTATGAATAATTTAATTTTAGAAGTCGTTTCTCCTTAGCATTTCTCTGCTGAGTGCATGCATAAATTCCAGCCGAAAACATTAACATGCACTTTCTCAGGGCTATCATTAATATCTCTCTCTCTCACTCTCTTGAATAGCCCTGAATTGTGGGATGCAGATTTACCAAAATAGATGCACCCAGAGTGCCTTCAAAAACAAACTTGATGGGAATTCGTGGGCATTCGCATTGGGTTTCGCATCTTTATATATACCATTAAAATTGAATAAGACGAAAAAAAAGCAGTGAAGAGTAGTTGAGATAAAATCGCCATTCCCTCTCGAATTAAATGGCCAGAATCTTCATCGGTGCGACTCTTTCTCTCCCAGCCACCGCCAAGATCGCGATGACGATGGCGAGTGGAGCGGCAGAAATTACTTTCTCCGCGCCAAACACTCGATGGAATCACGCTGCAGCCCAAGTTCGTAAAACTCAGCCACAAGACTTTCAATATATACACCGCGATATTCATCGCCACATTCTGTCCCTTTTATTCACTCGGAGCATCCTCTCCATCGATCTCATTAATTGGATGTTGGCCGCGAGAGTGTTCTCTGGATCATCTCTTGCCATCTCCGGGGCCTTGGAATGAAAGAAAAAGTGAAAGATATTAAAATGAAGCGACGCAGACGAGCGAAATGCTAATTAGGCAAAAATTGAGAGACGCAATCCGACCCGAAGAGAGTGAAGACAGATATTAATTAAATGAAATGTGCGACAAAAATGCGCGGGAAAATCTGCGATGGCGCCAACGCGATTGTCGACTCTTGAGCATCAGCGAACAGGAGGAATTTGCCGATCAAATTAATGGTCAGATAGAGTTTGCTGAAGAAGTTTAATGCTTTTTTCCATCTGCTTCTTCTCTTCTCTTTGCGCTAAGACAAAAACAAAGCCCGTGAATTTCGTTGCAATTCCACTTTCGGTTTTACTTTCCTGCGCGCGATCGAACACCTCAGTTTTTCTGGCCTTTTGTGCTTTGAGAGAGAGAATAGCAACAAAAAAACCATCAATTGTCGACGCTTTTGTTTGAAGGCACACACATGATCTCAAGTGAATTGACGAGGAGATGCGGCATTAATTGCCGAGCAGGTGGTTAATTGTTCATAGAAAAGAGAGCAGAAGATCATGAGTGCAAAATTACAAAATATAGACACAAGACACACTGGCGGACTAATCTCACCTTGCCATCTCTCTCTTGGATCATCGCTGAAAATCCATTTTGATCATTTTACACTTCAGCAAGTGGTTAATTAGCTAATTTCGCCATTAGCATAATTTGTCATGGGTGTTTGAGAGAGAAAGAGAGATTATTGAAAGGCCTTTTGAGACTCTTTGACGCGCGCAATGATGAGGATTTTGCTGAGAGCTCGCAATTC